CTCGCCTTGGCCGACGCGGGAGTCGAGATGTACGACCTGGTGGTGGGCTGCGGCCTGAGCCTCACGCCGGGGCCCGCGCCCGCCTGGCTGCTGGACCCCACGCGGCTCGAGGAGGAGCGCGCCGCCGCCGGCCTCACCGTGGCGCTCATGCCCGTGCTCAATCAGGTCGCCGGGCTGCTGGGCAGCGGCGAGGGCGGCCAGACTGAGAGCTGGGCGGAGGCCGTGCGCCTGGGCCTCGAGGGCTGCCAGCGCCTTTACCCGGTGCTGCAGCAGTGCCTGGTGCGCGCGGCCCGTTCGAGGGGCGCCGCCGCCCCGCCCTGAGCCCGAAGGCTGAGCAACGACGTACGCCGAGGACCGGGCGGCTGTGCCCCCAGAGGACCTGCGCCGCCGGCCTCCTGACTGCGCCGAGCTCAGAAGTTGGAGCACACGCGAGGATGTGCAGAGACAGACGCGATGCACTGGACAGCTGCCTAGATGAGGCTTTTTACAAACTGTTCCGTATTAAAGGGACTTTGCTGCTTGAGCTGGCCCCGGACACGACCCAGTTGAAGAAACTGTGAAAGCAGCCTGACTGCCACGTTGGGAAGGACTTCTGTTGAACTCGCTTGGGAAAATGAGACCTGGAGCCCTGGTCCTGTAAAAAGTGGACCCCTTCAGGCTGCCCCTGACTCCCTCTCATGTAAACTGGGCTGCTTTTGAGAGGATGGACAAGGAGTCTGGGCTTTCTTCATAGCTGAGCTAAAACAAAAACCTTTTTATATCTGAAAATGTCTTGTAGTTTTTGTGTAAGATTTAAAAGAGTAAGGTGCTTCTGAGCTGGGTCGAGTGTTCTGGGGCCCGGGCTTGGGATGGTACAGCCGTAAATATCCCTGTCTCTCAGCCAGCGGGTAAAAGAGACAGGCTGAACTACTGAGGCAGCTGCAGGGGTGAATGTGGGAAATTGCTTTGGAGAAGAAGCTGCTGCTGAGAGTGGGGAGAACTGTATGCCCAGGAGCAATCTGGGTTTCCCCCAAGCCCGAGATCCCTGGTTTAGTGCTGGCCGAGACCACAGCCCAGGGTTGGGTAACTGGGAAGGGTTGGGCGCTGGGTGGAAGCCACATCTCACCTTTTCTGCCCAGCAGAGCAGTCCAAGAGGCTTTACCCGGTGCTGGTGAAAAGTGAGGTTCCAGGGGCTGGGGATTTAGCTCAGCAGCACAGCGCCTGCCTGGCAAGCGCAAGGTCGTGAGTTCAATTCCCGGTACTGGAAAAAACAACAACAAAAAAAAAGAAGTGGGGTTCCAGCCTTGACTTCTCCTCTGTTCCTCTGTGCGCCCTCCACTTCTGGGAGGCCCTGAGTGACATGGGCTGGGGAGAGGGCCGGTGAGCTGCCCGCAGAGAATTCCCAGGTACTGGGATGCTGGACAGGGCCCTGTTCCTAGGGCAGAGCCGACTGACCACGAGGTGGAGACTTCCCTGTCTGGCTCCTAAATCCTGCTCTCTGTGCTCAGGACTGGATTAGAGAGAGGCGGGTAAACTGCCGTTGAAGAGACAGCAGCCTGGCCTGCACCCCAGTTTGGTGTGAGCTTTAAAATGTGAGCGTCTCAAGGGGCTCGCCGTAGCTTCTTTAGGAGAGACTGGCCCAGGGCAGCCCAAGGACCAAAATGTTTTGGGACCACAAATAAACTCACCAGGAAGAAGTGCACCTTTTATTTCTTTCCCTCTGACATCAGATCTGATGTACGTAGTATACTAACGAAAGAGGGTAGAAACAGGACAAAGAATGATGCTGCTCTTCTGAAGGGTGGCTGTGTAGGGGCAGTCTGGAAGCAAAGTGGGGCACAGGCTGTGGGTCTTAAACAGCTCGGTGTTAGAATGGAAGATCACGAGTGTGCTTCACCACTGGAAGACAGACCTGGGCAGGTGCTGTGACTGGTGGTGTGCGGGACAGGGAGGGGAGCAGCTAAGGCAGTGCCTGCACTCAGGAAGGGCTGGTGTTGCTCCGTGCTCTCGGGGTGCCTCCTGCACACTCGGCTGCCCAGGCTTTGTGAGGCAGGGGAGCTGCTGCTGGGTCATCCAGAGCCTCCCTCCAACCCTGCCAGCCCCAGGATTCTGGAAACAACCATCAAAACTAAACCTAACTCTGCGGGGAGTCTTTCCTGCTGGTGCGGCTGAACCATGCCTCTGCTTCCTTTGTCTTGGTGCCAGAACGGGTGCTCAGGTTGCACGGGTATCATCGGGAGGCCTTCAGAAAGGAAACAAGGCGGGGCAGGGGGCCAACCAGGAAGACGCCTGGAGCTGATGAGCCTGGAAGGGTTCCTACTTGCTACTGGCTGCCCTCCTGGTCAGATGCTTGATTCTGTACCTGTAGAAGAAAACAGACGCAGAGGGGGCAGGGAGGCACAGTACAGCTGGAAAGAGGGCCACCTGCTGACATCTAGTTCCACGCCCCTGTGTCCTGGGAGCTTTGGCAGCTCCAGGGCCACTCCACATTGTTTTCTTGGGGGTTAGAGGTGCTGGGGAACGAGCTTGGGGCCTGGTGCATCCAAAGTATATCCTCTTAGCGCTGAGCTACATGCCCAGCCGCTCTAGAGTTTTCCTGAGACTTGGGACCTGGTATTTCTATCTTGCCCATTCTTTTCCCAGGGCAGTTGTGGTTCGGCCCCTGCGTAGCAGTGAAGTCTGCCTGAGCCCAGCAGGCCGAGAATACAGCTGGCCAGGGGAAGGAGGGGCCTTTACCACTGCCAGCCCCGACGCCCTGACCTCGCTGGGAGGGTCCAACCTTACAGATCATAGGTAGTAGAGGGTGGGGAATACAGAACTCAGGCCATTTAATGCTGCATAAAGGGCCACTTTTGGTCGAGGGTTGGACCTTCTCCACCCAGGAATGCTGGTGTGCCACAGCCTGAGGAGCTGGGTGCTGTGCAGACAGCTCAAGGACGTGTGGGGGTGGGGCCGGGGAGAAGGCAGAAACTCATTTTTAACAAACTTACCAGGTGGTTCTTATGCAAGGGATCTGGGCCCTGCAATGCACCTGTGATATTCCCTCTATAGCGCTTACACCTCTCTTTGCCCCCCGCCTCCTGGAAGGAGATATTTCATCCCAGAACTGACCTGAGTGCCCAGCTGCCTGGTAGTAGCCCTTAGTACTGCTGAGCCAACCAAGCCCAAAGCTGAGATAAGCAGCAAGGCGGAGCCTGTCCTTCACGGGAGTGCTGCTCCGAGCTAGAAGTCCTGTGCTTTCCCCACACAAACCTGCCCAAACGTAAGTGCCTCCTTTGCTTATGGGGAGGCCATAGAACCCAGCACAAGAAGGGTGTGAAAGGAGGTGGGACCAGAGCACTCACGGCTTGCTCTGTGGCTGTCCTTCCCTCTGAGCCATCAGCCACTGGATGGATCCTCCAGCCCCTCAGCTCTTGTTGTGTCTCCGTAGTCCTGCATGAGCAGCCCTCCTTACCAGGGACCCTGTTCTTGTCACTGTCCTTTATCCCTGTGCAGAAAATCACCAGTTAGCTGGGCATGATGGTATACACCTGTATTCCCACCACTCAGGAGGCTGAAGCAGGAGGATCTCTACCAGTCCAAGGCAGCCTGGGATACATAGTGAGACCCTGTTGCATAAAAAAAAAAAAAAGCCAAAACAAAACAAAAAAATAAACCAGTCAATGGCCAAGTTTGGAGGGCCCAGCATACCTCTTCAGGGACCAGAAGTGATCTACAGCTTGAGAGGACAAAAGGCTGATGGGCTGGGACCAGCTGTGACTCCTGATAGCTACTGAGTATGTGGAGGTAACAGGACAACCCAGAATCGCAAACCCCCCCACCAGCCACAGGAACAGGCAGAGGGCGTCTAGTGTACGCTGAGGAAGGCAGGCCTGCAGACAACGTCCCCGGCTGGGCCCTGGACACCCTGACATCTTCCAAGACAGGAAAAGCAAGCTGGGGTCCCCGCTGAGAACATGGCCGGGGGCCACCCCTGGAGCCTGACCTGCAGCCTGGGCCCTGTGCTGGTCCATGTGCTCCAGACTTTCCAGCAGCCTGTCCACCTGGGCTTTGATCTGGCTCAGCTCTCCCCGGATGGAGTGCAGCTCCTCCGCCTGAACTGCTAGGGAGGGGCCGGGGTTAGTGCTCACAGAGGCTATGGGGGCCAAGAGCAAGGCTCCTGGGCCTGCTGCAGCACACACAAGCCACCCAGCTCCTCCCTAGCACTGCAGCTGGGGCCCTACTCACGCTTTGTCTGCTCCGGGGGCAGGGGTCTGCTCCTAGAGGCCTTATAGGGGCTGCAGCCACTCCTGACTCCCAGGCCCAAGAAAGTCCTCCGGAGCTTGGCAGGCACCTGGTTGATGAGTGGGGGTACCCTCTGGTATCCATACACCCTACAGGACAGGGGTAAGTCAGACCAACCAGCCCCTTGGGCTCCCCCTGGGACCCGGGGCAGGACACACCCACCTATAGGGGACGTCCTCTCTGTGCAGCTCATAGTGTAAGTCATACTTGCTGCTGCTGCTGCTGCTGCTGCTGCTGCTGCTGCAGTGAGGATAGATGGGAAAGAGGGGTGTGTGTCATTGTCCAGGGCCGGAGTCTTCTTGGTCCCTGGCTGAATTTGGGGAGAGTAAAGTACGCAGCTCTTCCTCAGGATGCCAAGATTCTCCACCGGAAGACCCCAGCGACTTGCCCAAGGTTCCTCTGCCAGACCGCAGCAAACCAGCTTTCCCCTGCTTGGATTCTGATAGGGGGCCCCTCCCTGTGGTTCCAGGCGGCAGGAGAGGAACAGCTGCCTGCAAAAGCCCCTCCGCCTAAGCCAGGCACTGCAGACATTCTGGATCTGAGTCTGGCAGAGGATGAAAGGGAAGAGTTAAGTCAGCGCCAGAGCCAAGGTGGGGGTGCGAGAGCCTTTAATCCTGGCATGGGAACTGGCAGGATGCATGGCCAGCAGACAGGGGGTAGCACTGCGGCCAGGCCGCCTGCCCCTCCGCTGCAGGTCCTAGGAAACGGTGACTTTGTCCCCAGGTTCACATGGGCCGGCCGGACCCCTTGTTGCAGACTCTGAGGCTCCGGGGCACCGGCCCGGGAGGGGTGCGGGGTCGCTGGGGAGAGACAATTAGGTCCCGACCAGGACCCGAGAGGAGCGTGGGGAGTTGGGGGAGGAGAAGGGACCCATTGGAGGGAGGCTGGAGTTCTGCAAGGACTTTGTGGTACTGTGGTCTCCGTCGCACGGTCAGTACCAGCCGAAGAGACCAGCCGAAGAAGGGGCACAGCGGAGGTCACCCGGCACGCTGACCCCCCCCCCATTCACCCCGCCAAGGTCCCCAGAATGCTCGCGAGGTTTCCGGCCACCCCCGCTTTCTGGCTCCAGGAGACCTGGGTGGGCGACGGGAAGAGTAGGGCTGCAGCCGATTCCGGGCTCAGCAGGAGGGGAAGAGAGGCAGCCGGCGGTTCCGGGTGGGAGGGCTGGGACGCCTGGCCAGGCGCTGTGGGGTCTGGCTCCGGGTTCCGGGAGAGCCGAGGTCAGGTAGGGCTCCAGAAGACCACTCTATGCGTGGTTGGACGGAAACCAGACCCTAAATAGTGCCTACCACCGACCTCCTGAGCCACTGGATGAACATACTTTCTATCGCGGCATTGGTGGTTCAGTGGTAGAATTCTCGCCTGCCACGCGGGAGGCCCGGGTTCGATTCCCGGCCAATGCACGAAGTAATCCTTTTTCCTTTTTGTTTCCCCAAATGACTTGTTTTAAGTATACTTTTAAGAGTAAGCAGGGAGGAGCAGTCTAAAGGAATAGGATTTTGCCAACTGCAACCCACGTTCAGACAGGCTTTGTGGAATAGGGCTAGGGTGCTCCTGTTCCCGGGCTGTTGCAAGCAGCGGTCCCACCGGTCTGGAGGCCTCCCCACCCTGCCCTCCTTTGCCGGCAGTGAGGCCTGTGTTCCCAACAGGTCCCAAGGGAGCGGCCAGTTTGCACAGGGCTAGCGGCTGCGGCCGCCTGCTGGTCAGGGCTAATGATCTGCAAGGCTGAGACTGGCACCAAAAGGGAAACAAAACACAAAAGGCACGTTTGGAATTGCTGTGGGGGCGGGCATCCAGCCTCCTTCTCAAGTGTCGTAAGCACAGGCTGTGGGGCAGGCGGGGGACTTGTGTGGGCTAAATTCACCACAACTTGCCCTCCATGCTGACAGATTTCAGTGAGGAGCCCAAATCCCAGGGCCTAGACTCGATCACTTCTCACGGAGAAGCCACCAGGACCCTAGTGCTGGGCACAGCCCCATCCCCACCTGTCCCTCCCTGGGGACGTTCCCAAGAGGCCCAGCAACACCACACAGCCTCCCATCTGCCCAGGATCCGGGGAGGCACTTGGTTGTCCTCGCTGGAGACCTCCAGGCACAATGAGGCCAGGTGGAGGAGGCAGAGGCCCAGAGGAGGGGGAGGAGCAGGAGCGGGGAGGAGAGGGAGGGAGGAGGAGGAGGCCACCTCTGCTCCACAGCTTGAATGCCAGGGGCCCCTCTGAAAGAAGTGGGAGCCCCTGTCCTACAGGGCTGCTCCCCATTGCTTCAGACTGTACCCCAGCATGGGCACCCCCACCCCTGGGTGTCCAGGGAGGGCAGACAGGGCTGAATCCAAACGTACTGGGAGAAGAGGCAAGGTAGGAAATACGAAATCTGATGAAGGCAACTAAAAGTGAAGAACAGAGGGACTTCCCCCAACCTTGAAAATTGGTCCTGTTGTGGGGCGCGGTGGTGCATCCCTGCAACTGCGGCATTTGGGAGCCTGAGAGAGGATTGTTATGAGTTGGCAGCCAGCCTGGGCTACCCAGTGAGTTCAAGGCCAGTGTCAGCTACGCAGTGAGCTGGGTGTGAAGGTGCACACCTGTAATCCCAGCACACAGAAGGCTGAGGCAGGAGGATCGTTGTGAGTTTAAAACCAGCCTGGGCTACAAAGTGAGCTCACAGCCAGCCTGAACTGCATAGGGAGACCCTGTCTCAAAAAGACAAACCAAACAAAATAAAACATGCTGTGTTAGCTGAATATAGTGACACATGCCTATAATCCTAGCACTTAGGGAGGCTGAGGCAAAGGGATCTAAATTTAAGTCCTGCCTGGGAAATTTAGTGAAAACCTGTCTCAAAATTGAAAGAAAGACAAGAAAAGGAAAGAAAAGAAAAGAAAGAAAGAAAAAGAAAATGTTGCAGATGTAGCTCACTGACAGAGCACTCACTATCACAGACCAAGTGGGAGGTGGCCCTGGGTTTCATCCCTCCCTGGCATCAAAAAAAGTTCTTCCTTATATTTCCTCAGCAAGATGTCACCCAAAAGGTTCTTATTTATTGTCTCCCAAATATCTATTCCTGGGAAAAGCCCCCAGTGTCCACAGGTGAGTCTCCCCAAGAGAGCCCTGGGCCCGGGCAGGAGGAGGGCACTCCTCCCCATCAGCAGGATGGCTTTGGTTATGTCAGCTAGGGGCCCACCAGAATGTGCTGGGTCTGCTCCCCTAGTTTACAGACAATCCCTGCGCCCAAGAGATCGGGAACCTGCTCACGGGGCTGACAACCTGAGCCATGTGCAGCCACTGTACTTGGGGTGGCTTTGGGGTCCTTGTCCTGTCTCAGGGAACCCACACAAGCCAACGGCCAGCCTCCCTCCCAGCGGAGGCCTGGACAGACTCACCGGAAGCCAGCTGTGTCCTGCTGCCTCATGTGTCCTGGCCGGCCAGGGCCAGGCCTGGCCTCTCCAGCCATGTCCAAATCTAAAGGGAAAGCAAGAGATGGGGCAGAGGTGAGGGGACAAAGAAAGGGATGCAGGGGAAGGGACAAGTGCACACAGGGCCCTGCCCTGCTCCTGCACTCTGGGGGGAGTCAGAGCCCCAGCCCCTTTGATGGACAGCCTCGCCTGGCCTCCGATGGACCCAAGTCACCCTACCTAGGGCTAGGCTAGTAGTCATCCTAGAGGTATCCCTTAAAGAAGGCAACAAACGATCCTTTTGGTACCATTCAAAACACAGACCAGATGTGGTGGCCCATGCCTGTAATCCTAGTACTTGGGAGGCTGAGGCAGAAAGATCATTTCAAGTTTGAGACCAGCCTGGGCTACAAAGTGACCTCAAGGCCAGCCTGAATTGCATAGCAAGACTCTGTCTGAAAAAGACAAAAAAAAGACAAAAAAATCCAAAATCCAAAAAGCAAAACAAAACAAAGATACCCCATGGCTATTCCTTTAGGCCTGAACCCACTGTCAGAATCACCTCATTGCCCAGCCCTGAAATTCGGGGTGGTAGCACCATTAGGGAAGAGAGGGGCTACCTGGATGGATCCTCGTGCACGCTGAGCAGACAGCCAGCCCTGGTCTGGGTTAATTCTCGAGTATCCTCCTGCTGCCCGCCTGGGAGGGACAGGGAGTGTGTGCCCAGCCGCCCGCGCTGGCCTGCGCACTGCCAGGCCCACGCCCCGCACCTGGCCCTCTGCTAAGCCTGTGCTGGCTACTGCTACCACCGCTGAAAGAGCCAGGGTGGCTCGGAGCAAGAAGCAGTGAGCACCTTCTACAAAACTTCCTGCAAAAGTCTCAGGTTCACAAAACTGGAACCCCCAGATGAACACTCTCCCTGATTCCAAACTCTAGTTATTTACCAAGAAATCCCAGAAAGGGGAGGAACCTCGTACAAGATGTGACAGCCACACTGGCACCCCCCTCGGGGCTCAAGTACTCGCAGGTCTCCGATCATACCCCAACTCTTGGGCAATTAGAGAGGCCAGTAATGTTTTGTGAAGTCCTGTTAAAGTGAATTTGACATATTTGAAATTCAAATTACAGCTTGAAATTTATTTATTTATTTATTTATTTATTTAGTCTTTTTTTTGAGACAGGGTCTCGCTATGTGGTTCAGGCTGGACTTGAGCTTACTATGTAGCCCAGGCTGGTCTCAAACTCACAACGATCCTCCTGCCTCAGCCTCCCAAGAGCTGCAATTACAGGCACACACCACCACTCCTGATTTAGAACTTGAAGTTTAAATTAGAAGGCTTATGGTAGAATTCATGGTTACCAATTAGGCATACTAGCTAGCTGTTAGCAGGAGAAAAATTTTAAAAGAAAATACAGTCAGGTGTAGTGCACACCTGTAATTCCAGCACTCTGGGAGGCTGAGGCAAGAGGACTGCAAATTTGACCCCAGCCTGGGAAATTTAGCAAGATCTTGACTCAAAATAAAAATTTAAAAAGGGATAGGGGTGTCATTCAGGGCAAAGACCCTGTATTCAATCCCCAGTACTGGGAAAACAGTGGAGGGAGAGGAAGAGGAGGGAGAGGAGGGGGAGCCGGTGGGGGGAAGAGGAGAGGGCAGAGAAGGAGGAGTCCTAATTTCTGCAGGCCAGTTTATAGTGATGTCCTGAGCTCAAGGAAGCAGAGAATAGGGCTTCATGAGGACCACTGTCGTTCAGTTGCAGTTTTGGTTACACTGGCACTAGTGCTGCTGGCAGAAGGGCCATATCCCCATGTAGCGGGGTGGAGGGTCCCCCAGAATATGTGTGGGGCTGGCAGCCTGGGATGGACTGACAGGAGTGAAGGACTTGGGCAAATCTGGGAGGAGGGTACTGAGGACCGTGGGTTCCTTCTTACCATCTGGGCAGAAGAGGTCTGGAGGAGATGCTGGGCCTCAGACCAGATTCTCTTGAGACCTTGTGGTTACACTTCTTGGGGTTGGGCCAAGAAGTGTAACCCCTCCTCCTTCTCCTCCTGCTCCTCCTCTCCCCGCTCTTCCTCCTGCAATGTTTGAGTCATATCTGGGGTGGAGAGGAGCTACCTGGTTGCTAGTGGAACTAGCAGTTGACCCTAAAGGCAGCCATGAGCCCTGGGCACCCAGGCGAGAACTGGGGCTCTTCCCCTCCGGGACCCTCGGTATGCAATGATGCAAGAACAGGTAGGACCCCATTCCCACATTCTGGAATGCAGGGCAGGCTCTGCATACGTGCAAAAAGTGTGATCTGAAAACACAGACATTTTCACTTCTGCTGGGAACAGAAGAAAGCAAGAAGCATGGCTTTCAGGCTCCAGGAATCCAAAACAAATATAAGTGGTGTATGTAGGGGCCCAAGAATTCTTTTGCAGGGGGTGCTGGGAGTTGAACCTAGGGCCAGATCCTCTTTTTTTTGTTTGTCTGTTTTGTTTTTGTTTTTGAGACAGGGTCTCACTATGTAGTTCAGGCTAGTTTTGAACTCACTATGTAGCCCCGGCTGGCCTTGAACTCAAGCAATCCTCCTGCCTCAGCCTCCTGAGTGCTGGGATTTCAGACATGCACCACACCTGGCAACCCCAACCCCTCTTTAAGGTGTTTTATTTTCTTTTAAATTGGGCATAGCACTTAGTTGCTCAGAGGGGCCTCAAACTTGTGATCCTCCTGTCTCAGTCTCCCAAAGTGCTGAGATTATAGGCATGAACCATCAGTCCCACTCACCAAATAATTCTTGTTTCATGCCTTCTTTGCCTCACCTACATCTTAGAGATATGTGGCTTCAAAGTCAAAAGGCAGCTGAAGCCCATTCCAGGGAGGGCTTTGAAGTCAGCCATCTGTGCTCCACCATGAGCACATGGTCCTTGCGTCAGCATTCTCCACACAGGAGGACAGCTCCACACAGGGGACAGGGTGGGGAATCTGCTGCTGCTCCAGCCCCTCCACTGCCTCAAGGCAGGACAGGGAGCAGCTGCTCAGTGGATGTCTGCTGACGAAGTAGATGAACCATCACAGAGGCCACGGGTTAGAGTGGGGTGAAGGGCTTTGCTCCACAGTCCAGCTCACAATGGGCCGGGAAGGACTTCCTGAGAGACACACCCTCCTCCCCTCGGCTGTGCTGCAGGACCTTGCAGAACACGAATAGGATCTTGAGCGAATGGGAGTCATAACGAATGACAGCAGATGACTCGAAGGCAGGAGCCTTCAGGTGGGAAGAAAGCAGAAGGAAACAGTGGCACCCCGCCGATGTAAGAGCAAGAGTCAGGGAAAAGAGAGACGCGGAAAGAGGTGAACACGTCCAACAACTGGTCCGCACAGGTCACCAAGCCGACTCCCAGACACGTTTCCCTGAATTTCTCAGACCAGTGCAAAGTCGTGAGCTTATTTCCACAGTGCTCCCTGGAAGAAAGGACAGGGTAGATCATTTCCAATATTAAAGGCCGCAAGCAGGAGTTAGCAGTGAAGGACTGGCTCTCCCAATCACAGCCACAAACCCGGCTTTGAAGTAAAGCTGATGAAGTGGAAAAGCAGCGACTCAGCCTTCGGTGGCAGTGGCAGCAGCTACATCCAGCTTTTGAAGATGGTGGCAGCCCTGTCCCACTTCAGTGGTGCCTCCACCATGCCCAGCAGGCAGCGGGGCCTTCCCCAGGCCAGCTCTGTCCTGTGATCTCTTCCAGATCTGATTCTCCAACCCTCTCAGAGCTCCTGAGAGCCAACAAGTATCGTCCATAAACTTACTTTACCTAGAGTCGCCAGATAGCTTCTGTGGCTTGAAAATCCAGCGAGTATTAAAGGGTGGGGCTCTAGCAGCCTATGACCCGCTATGGCAAGACAGTTAATCCTGTGGTCCCCTAGAACAAAGCACCGTCAAAGGCAAGGCTTTGAGGGGTTTAGTGGCTCCTGCCATAGAAGAGTACAAAGCCCATACTGAAGTGAAGGTCTTTTTTTTTTTTTTTTTTTTTTTTTTTTAAGAGGGAGTCGGGGTGGGAGGCGGGGGCTGGACCTGTCAGCACATGCCTATAATCCTGGCATTCTGGGAGGCTGAGTCAGAAGGATCACAAGTTTGATCCCAGCCTGGGCAACTTAGCAACTTATTGAGACGCAGTCTCAAAATAAAAAATGCACTTGTTGGCAGGGTGGCCATAGGAAGGCAATGCACAATGGATGCCTCCCTCTTTAGGCACCATAGGCTTCGAAGCCAGGATTCTCTCTGTGCATGGCCTGCAGGTACCACTCCCCAAATGCACCACAAGCCAGTCCCTTTGGGTGCGTGATGAAAACATGGTTATGTCTATATTTACCCTTTAAAGTTTTTGTCTCCTTCATAATGTACATAATATTGTACCATTGTACTACATGGAGACAATTGGAAACACTGGAAAGCACAAGCTCAAGTTTGTTTGGTTTTCCAAGTTTTTACACACGGAGTTTGGAACCAAAACATACAAAAAGTGGAACAAATCGCCAGGTTTATGTCCAAGAGAGCGCTAAAAAAAAAAAAAAAGCCGGCCACATTTTTCTCAGCAGCACTCAGGAGGCTAAGGCAGGAGGGTAGGAAGTGTGCAGCAATTTCGAGGCCAGCCTGAACTATATTTTAGGACTGTAGTTTTTTGGTGCTGGGGATTTAGCTCAGCGGCACAGCGCTTGCCTGGCAAGCCCAAGATTGTGAGTTCGGTTCCTGGTACCGGAAAACAACCAAAAGAAAAAAAAAAAGACTGTATCTTTTTTTAAAAAAAAAAAAGTGTTGTCTTCTAGGCCCACAATTAGAACAGGAGCCTGTGCCGGTAGGTATCCTAAGGACTCCTCTTCCAGTTCTGACAAACCCTCACAAAGAGTTCCTTCCTCCGGGGAAGCCCAGAGGGGGTTGTTACGCATTACTGCATTACTCTCTCCCGGCAAGGACATGGGGTGATTTCTACTCTCGGACTGGCCTTGCTGAGCTGGCTTCCTTTTCCTGTTTCCCAGGCTTACCAGCATAAGAAAGCGTACTCTGTGTTGGAGGTGCCGGGGATTGAACCCGGGGCCTCGTGCATGCTAAGCACGCGCTCTACCACTGAGCTACACCCCCGTCGGGAACTTCTGTAGAACCAGATCAATATGTATTTTCTCTCCTCATTTCACCAATGGAAGAAAGTACCACAGACGTTTACAGACTTTGGGGAATATACACGCTGGCCCAGAAGCGTTTGCCAGGTAAGGAAAAACAAATTCCCCAGATAAAACCACACAGAGATAGACATACTGTGGGTCAGGGCTTGTAAAATTTCCAGAACTTATTTCGGGGATCCGCCATGAGGTGCAGAATCTTTTTATATCACAAAGAATCACTTAGCCAACGCCTGATGGCCTAGTGTGTATTTTCTCCTCGAATCGCTGCCACCCAAGTCCAGATACAAAGGCCAGGAGCGCTGCAGGGGACAGAGCGCCTCTGGCTGAGAACCGTCCTCCACCGTTCTGCGTGGAAACCACAGAGGTGACCGCTCCGCGCGGGCCGAGGCGGGTCTCCCGCAGCCAGAGTCTCCACGGACCCGGGAGGCGACCCCGCCCTCCGACCGTGACGGCCCCAGTGGGCGGGCCTGGGGTCCACTGTCAGTCTCCCTGGCCCTCCGCGGGCGCGCGGGGCTCCGACTCCCCCTCCCCACCTCCCGGGCGGCCAAGCAGCAACACTGCCACCCGCGGGGAGCCCAGCCAGCGACGTGCCACCGTCCCCCGGCAGCCCGCGGAAGGACTTCGGCCAGGTGACAAATGCACGGAGTCCCCAGGGAGCCGCGGCCCACTGTTGGTGGGGGCGGGGCCTGACCGGAGGGGCGGGGCCTGACCTGGGGCGGGGCCTCGAGCGGGATTTGGGGGCGGGCCGGGGGTTGAGGGCGGGGCCTCATGGACCCCCTCCGCTGCGCGTTAGTGGGCCTGGCTCCTAGAGGGCGTGCGCACCCGCAAGCGGCACCCCGTCTGTGGCTTGTGCGGAAGTTGAGTCTTGGGTCCCTGGCCAAGAGTTGCGGCTGTTGATTACGGGATCAACGCGGGAGAGTAGGTACGCCCTCCTAGGCGACCTTGGGCAGATCCCTGGACCGGTGTCTGTCGTTTTCCTTCCGCTAGGAGTGGTTGCTGATACTGGGAACGCCTGTGTGTGTGAACGCCGAGCTGTGCCCGCGCTCTGAACCTAGGCACGTAGCTTGCTGCATGCCCTCAGTTAAACGGCTGAACCAAGAAAAACAGAAAGAATTAAATGATACCTGGACTGCCTAGCTTTCATTGCTGTGTTACCCGGGGCAAGTTACTCAACCTGCCTGTGCTTCCATTTCTTCAACTGTAAAATGGGAGTAGTAATACTCCTTTCTCAATGAGGATGTGTTTAACCACTTACCAGTCCAATTATTTAAATACAAGATGACCAAAAACTGCATATTTTTAAATTTTTATAATATACCAGGACATGGGGCTGGGGATTTAGCTCAGCGGCAAAGCGCCTGCCTGGCAAGCGCAAGGTCGTGAGTTCGGTTCCCAGTACCGGAGAAAAACCAAAAAAAAAAAAAATATATATATATACCAGGACATATAAAAACGACAGTTTTATTGTTTATTCAAGATAATAATTGTCTGGTTGAAATGACACCTGCCTGAGCACAGCTTGGGAATCACTAAGTAAACAAACGCGCTGCCCAGGTGAGCTGGGGTAAACTGTTAAGTGGTTAAATGAGTTAGTAAATGTCAAGTGCTCATTACGCTGCTGACACTGTTTATTAAGTGTCAGCTGTGATGTCTGAGGCGCTGGTTGAGGCAGCGGGACTGGACAAATGCTGACTGTACCATCAGCCCTGCTAGGCGGAGGCGCTGCGGTGGTGAAGACAGGACGAGAGTTTGGTCTTCCAAATTACTGGGGAGCCTGGGAGCACCCATAGGTTGAACAGGAAAGGGGAGGTAGCAGACGCAAGAGCATTCTGGTCATCTGAATTCTTTTTCCAAAAGACCAGTTGTAGAGGCTGTGGTGGTACACATCTGTAATTCCAGCACTGAGGAGGCTGAGGCAGGCAGATGGAGAGTTCCACCCCAGTCTGGGAAAGTTAGTAAGACTCTCTCAAAAAGTTAAAGGAAACAAAAAAGGGGAGGGGGGGCTATGGTTGTAGCCCTGTGCAAAGGCCCTGAGCTCAGTCCCTGGAATCTGGAAAAAAGAGCACTTGGAAGTCTGGCTGATTTATAACTTAGTTTAATTCTTGTGGGTGCATCTGGTGAGGAAAACTCCAGCTGTGCCCGAGAGTTCAGCTCTTCCAACTGCAGGCTCTAATTTCTGCTGTAACACCTGGAAGCCCATCTTCCTGATCAAAGAAGAAAGTCGAGGGTTCCAGGCTGTCCTTTTCCCAAGTCAGGCTCCTCTCCTTCACGCACTGGCTTCGCTGCCACTCTGCCCAACTTCCTGCAAAGTCTGAGATCTCTGGACGTTAGGCGTGCAACCCCAGCCTGGCTGCAGTTTTGCCCAGGTGAGCGGATAGGCAAGCAGGGCTGGTGCACCCAGGGGCTGGCAGGAGAGCTGCCTGGCCAGGCTCAAGGCCCTGGATCCCACCGGGAAATGTGCTCCTGAGCTAGAAAGGAAGCAGAACAGGGTGGCGCTTGGTGGCAGCCCAGGCCGTCCTGGGATGGGGTCTCTGCTGCGCTCAGTCCAGAAGAATCCATGGCTGTGATCTCATGTGAAGTCTAAACCCTGCTAGCGAGTGCTGCTGGTAACCTATGCCAGGCCAGATGTCACCTCTGGCCTCCCCCATAGCTCACTGGGTTCTAGAAACTTATGGAACATCAGGGGATCAGACAGGTCTCCAGGTGGCAGGTTTCATGACAGAAGAGAGAGATCATAGAGAAATCCCCAGCAAAATGTGGTTGCAGTGCCTCTCCGTGGATTTAGTGCATATGTGATGCTAAGCCCACTGTCTGCCCTCGGACCTCAGACACCTGAGGGTCCAAGGTCCTAAGTGGGACATCATCTGTGGCCCTGTGTTTCCTTTGACTTGGATATCCTAGAGGCCTGGAGTGGGCTAACAGTGCCCTAGGGGACAGGAACCACAGGAAGGGAGCTGAGGGGGGGCACTCACCAAACTGGCAGATGTAACGGTTCCGAGTTTTACAGCGTTGGTCATTCCAGTTGAAGGCAGACGATGCCTGCAGCTCCACACAGTTGCCGAACCTGGGGGGCCAGAATAAGGGTGCACCGGATGGAGGAATGAAATTAGGCGTACGGGTGAGTCTTAAACCGGCTACGCCATTAGGCCAGCTGTATCTACCAGGCCGGCCCCCCAAGCTCCCATCCAGCTTCCCTCCTGCTTCTAGAGCCCTGCAGCTCTTCTCAGGGAAGCCAGGAGGTGTTACCAAATCCCCCAACCTGGCGGTGCTCAGCCACACCAGCAGTGTAGTGGGCCTGGGACAAGGAGGGCCACCTCCCTCCGTCCCAGCAGAAAGGTACCAGGAGCCTGATCAGGCCTGGCTGCCAGTGAGGAGGGCTGGGGAGATATTTGGAGCCCTTGGTGACCGTGCAGCCTCTGCTTCCCCTCCCTTGCCGCCCATGCCCTGGGTGTTCCTGGGCTTTAAAGCTCAGGACAAGGTCACATAACTGAAGTTCCTTGGTATAGGACAGTGGATGGGTGGATGTGTGCATGAAGGGCGCAGGGGTGGACAGCTACAGAGTGCTGGAATCGGCGTCATGATGTAGGCAGAGGGCGGGTAGGCCAGCAGAAGGAGGGTATGGTATGTGACAGGTAGAGGGACAGCTGAGGGGATGATGGGGACAGGTAGATGGATGAGACCTTCTTATGTTCCCTCTCTTTCATGTGACGTGCCTCCTCCCTCACTCAGCCCTAGGCCTGCACCAGCTGCACCCTGAGTTCTCTGGCACCTGTCAGGTAAGCGCCACTTCAGAGGGTTTTTCAGTGGAATCTGAAGCCTCAGCCAAGCAGGCCAGGGGAGAAAGAGGTCTAGGGGAGGGTGGCCACCTCAGACTCACCCCTGGTTGTCAGGCTGACCGAAGGCAAAACTGGTGAAGGACTGGTGCTCCCCAGTGGTCCAGCGGAAGGAGTCCTTTGCCATCTTGTAGGTGAGCCCTGGGTCGGTACCCAAGGTTGCCCACCACCTGAGAGCCCTGAGCCCCACTCAGACCCTGAGCCCAGGAACCTACCGCCTAATGCCTTTTACCACCAGTCCTGAAGCCCCTCATCCCAGTCTTCCAGCCCCCACACCCTACCTGCAACCCTCTCCTGGGAAGAGGACAGCAGCCTGACTACCGGCCCCATTCCAGGCGCCAAGCTGTCCCCACACTGCTGCGAGCTGCTGGTGGATGCGCTGGTTGCTGCAGCCTAGGATTCTGGGAGCTGACAGGGCATTGAACCCCACACTCACTGTGCCTCAGCCAGCTAGAACACTCACCAATCCAGAAGTTCCTGGTCTCAAAGTCGCTGTCAGTCACCTCATTGGTAGTCTCCAGGCGGCCCAGGTAGAAGGCGAGGATGTCCTGCACTTTCTGGCTCTCAATCTGGGCCAGCACCCCACCCTTTCCCTGTAACCCCAACCCAGGTCATGTTGGCAGGGCCCCCAGAGCTTAGGCCAGTCCTTCCTGCCCAGCAGAGCACCCCCCCATGGCAGTGGACCCCACATATGTGTGTGTGAGCTAGCCTGGCTGTCTTCACACCCAACCCCGACAACCTACGGCCTCTGGGATTGGGGTCCCCCTTTCCCTCCCCTGCTTCTCTCTTCTCTGTGAACAGGGGCCCAGCTGACAGCCCCCAGGCTCACACAGGGTCCCACCTCAAGAGGCTTTTGTCACAACTGCACAGTATCTGAAATATACAGTACTTGAATTGGTTGCCAACGTGGATACATCCCAGAGAAACCAATGAAAATCTGGGTTTCTGGTTTTGAAAACCCTGAGTTCTGGCCACCCTGACCTGACATTCCTGCAGGGCAACCAGCAGCTGGAGCTGAGTCAGAACAGCTCCTTAGATACGGGGTTTTGTCTCTGTGTCCCCCATGTCCTTAAGTGACCTCCTGGCCTCTATGAGCCTCTGAGTCTGTGACCCCTGCTTTATACTAATGAAGAGAGGGAGGTCAGGAGACACTGACGGATCACCCCATGCCCACCCTCATGTGAGATCCCGGGGTCCCTGGGAAGGCAGGGCTCGGGCTCAGCCATCACCTGACATTTTATCTTGGCTCCATAATAAGTGTCTGCCTCCGAAGACACGGTGAAACAGTCCCCGTCGATCCTCAGGTCACAGGTGTGGAAAGGAAAGCGCACCTTGGCTGGGGGTGGGGAGAGCTGAGCTTGTGTGCGCCACCCTCAGGCTCGCCTCCACCTCCCACCTTGCCAGGGAGCTAAGCTCAAGGTGCCCCTTCTAGCTTCCGCTAGAAATGGGTGGGGGTGAGCGGTGTGCTGGTAAATGTGTAACAGCGAGCTCTCGCTGGAAAAAAGATGCACAGCTTGTAGCACTTGGCAGTTGCAGTGGAGTAAATGCCCCCACCGTGGCCAGTTTCAAGCTACCAACACGATGTCACTGAGCGGGGAGTAGGGAAGAGATGCACACAGTGGGCCCCGCAGGCTGGGAGAGTGGGATCCAGCACCCCACTGAAGGGGTCCTGGCAGGAGCCTTGGCGGGGACTCACTGGCGCACTGGGCTCCCCCGTAGCCGACGTCACAGACACAGGAGCACTCCTCTTCCCGGAAGTGGCCGTGTACACACTGCACGCTGCACCGCACTGGCATGATGGAGCGGGGTAAAAGAGCTCAGTCTAGAACATTCAGGGGTGCCAACCCCAGCAAGAACACCCCCACTGGGGCTTCCAGCTGCTGCCACACCTGGCTTGTTTGGTCTGAGTCTCACTGTGAAAAGCGGGGTTTGGGAGGTGACTAGCCCATACCCATAAAATGGGGAGCAAGAAAGCGGAATAAGAATCTACTCCTATGTGGTGCACATCTGTAATCCCAGCACTCAGAAGGCTGAGGCAGGAGGACTGCCATGAGTTTGAGGTCAGCCTGGGCTACATAGCAAGACTCTGTCTCAAAAAAAAGATTCCATTCCTATTTCCTAATTGTATCCTTCTCTGATTGTCCCATAGCCAAAGAGGCCAAATCTGATTGCATTTTGAGTCTCCTGCAGAGCTCCAGGTCTGGTAGACAGTTGGGGCTCAATGGATGCTTACTGAATGAAAGCATGTACTGAGTCCCAGCAAGTACATGGCAGGTATATACACACCCACACTCACCTTCCCTCCACGCCCTCACCTTGGCAGTATCTGCCTGTGTAGCCAGGCAGACAGTGGCAGTGGCAGGTGCTAATGTTGAGATGTCCCTGGTTCCGGCAGCTCATTCGACATGGGTTTCTGGGGACCTCTGGTCGGATGAGGAGGAAACTGAGAAGGTGACTCCTCTGGACAGGACAGGCAGGTGCCACCCCAGGTGCTGAGAGCCAAGCCTTCCAGGACAGCCTCTTAGGCTGCTGCCACCCACCCTAGAGTCACCAGGCCGCGCCCTGATGTGCCTGCTGCAGGCAGGGTGGAGCACTCACCACAGAGCCCCCCTGCGTGGTCCCAGGCCTTGAAGCAGCCCGAGACACTGGCTGTGCAGAGGGAACACCAGGCGCCCTTCTTATAGGGGACAATTGTCTTCCCGTTTACCTCCCAGTTGCCTCTGTGAGAGCAAATGGCAGCAGGCAGTCAGGAGCCAGGAGAGACAGGAAGATTTACTAGGGGAGAAAGACGGCCTCCAAACAAACCCTGGGCAGTCTTTTAAAGCATGGTCATGCTTCCAGGAAGAGGCATCCAGGGATAAGCTCTGTTCTGCATGGCCAGAATCTTCAGCACCTTCTCTCTCTCCTTCTCTTCCCGCTCCCAGCAAGGGTGCAGACGGAAGAGTGTGTGGGTGGGTGTCTCACCCTGGGTGTAAGCATCCTGCCCTGCCCTCCCTCGGCCCATGTCTCAGGGGCTTACCCGGGGGAGTAGGCACAGACAAAGGCTTCCATCGCTGCCTGGCCCACAGAGCACAGGTGCCGCCCGCAGCCCAGCTGGCTCGAGGTGGCCCACACAAGCTGCAGGAGACACAGTGGCTCAGAAACCCCACCAAGGACAACCCCCATTGCGATCTAGGAGCCTGCAGCAGAGGCAGTGTACACCTTGGTGGAGGTGCACACAGCATTGGCCAAAATCCAGGCAGATGACCAGCTTTCCCCCATCCCTGGGAGCCTTGGAGGCAGCAGCTGGGGAGGGGAGGGCTATAGGGATGGTGAGCATTAGAATCCACTCATGTCTTTCTGAGCAGAGAGAGGAGAGAAGGTGAGGATTAGGAGATACTTGAAGAAAGGAAAGATTATAGGTAGAGGGAGGAGAATAACAAAACAAAGACTTGAAAATCAAGGGCCTTGTGATAGACCTCAAAAATAGCCACAGCCTTTTACTTCTTGCCCTAGTCCACGCTTGTAAATGTGATTCTGTGGCCACTTGTGGCAACTAATGTGTTCCTTTTCCCTTGTGACTTGTGTTGGGTTAAAGAATGCAGCAGGGATAATACTGAGCCTGGGCCTCGAAAGACTTTGCAGTTTCCGTTCATGCTGGTAGAACCGTGCTCATCCACTCTACAAACAAGCCTAGGTTAGCACGTTAGAGGTTGAAAGGCCTCATAGGGTAGAAATGAGCCATTTGAGGCCATGCTAGACAGCTAACTCCCAGTGCCAGGGACCAGGAAAGACCAGAGAACCTTGCAGCTGAGCCCAACTCAAGGTCAGTCCGCAAAATCATAGGCTGGGCCAGGGATATAGCTCAGCGGCATAAGTGCCTGCCTGGCAACACAAGGTCCTGAGTTCGATTTCTGGTACAAAAACAAACAAACAAACAAACAAACAAAAACCAAATCATAGGCTGCTGAAGTTTGGACTGGTATGCCATCTAGCAAAACTAATGGGTGTAGGTCTTTAAAATTAGATGTAAAGTCTTAGAGTGGGTGACAACTTGGAAAAAGCACCAATGATCAATACACAGGAACGGCTAAGCAAACTCTCTAGAAGCCACTAAAAATGACAAAGGCCGGACTGGATTATGGCAGGAAGATGTAGTCATATACATAAGAGAACATGCTCTTCTTAGAAATCTATGGAATTTTTGCAAGCATTGAGATCTTACTAAATGACAAAGCAAATTTCAACAAAGATCAAAGAATCGCTATCCCACAGGCCACGTTATATTAATTCAGGTAGGTGCCGTGCTGCTGAGCTATATCCCCAGCCCACATTATATTAATTCAGTGGAATAAAATATAACAGATAATTTAGAAGTGAGGAAAATATATTTTGTAAATTTAAATCTATACTTCAAAATCAAAAAACAACATCATGAGGCTGTGGCAGGAGGATCACAAGTTTCCGCTCAGCAATTAACAAGTGTGAGCTGGGTAATTTAGTGAGACCTTGTCTCAAAATTTTAAAATGGTGAGGAGGGCTGGGGATGTACTCAGTGCAAAGGCCCTGAGTTCAATCCTCAGTACCACACTCAGGAAAACAAAAACAAAAATCTCCGCACATGATAGGAAATAGAAAACAGCCCTAGTAACAGTGAAAGCACTTGTTTTTGTACTCTGGGAGGCTGAGGCAGGAGGTTTGAGAGTTCAAGCCCAGTCTGGACAATGCAGTGACTTAGAGACCCTGTCTCAAAATTTAAAAGGAGGGGGGATCTGGAGATCTGGGGATACGTTCCAGAACAAAGGTCTTCAGTTTAATCCCTGGTAGCACTCCATGAGCGAAAAAATAAATAAAATAACAAAAAGTAAAACTAAATAAACTAGAGGAAGAGGAACCCAAGTATTTAGGACAAAGTGTAGTGTCTTCTGAGAAGCCCCTCCCAGCCCTATGGGAGCCTTGGTCTCACCTGCGACTCACCTGAGTGTAATGGGTGCAGGTGGCGTTACGGGCACACTCAGCTGCTTCGTGGCTGTACTGCTGCCCCTCGGCAAACCAGAAGTTGATCACCTCAACAAAGGACACTGAGCCTGTGGGCAGCAGCTGCATGTTCCAGCCCACCTGTGGGGTGCGCCACGGGGCAGATGCCAGGTCTGGGGCCGGCTTGCCACAGAGGGCTGCCCTGGCTTGCGCCAGCTGAGCCAGGTTCTCACTCCAGTCCTGGGGTGGCACAAACAGACATGCACAGAAGGACTAAGGGGGACGGAGGAGACTGCTGGGCCATGGCTCAACTCCCCCGCTGACTCGGAGCACTTGTAGCGTAGCGGGTCCTGGTGAGAGGAGAGCACTGGGTGAGGGGTCCTGCTGGCTGCCCAATGCCCCGAGCTGGTTTCCCTCACTGCGTGGAGCCAGGGGAGGTCAGGCGGCACCGCAGGTGTTCTTTCTCCAAAGCTGGGAAAGCACAGGTGGGTCTGGTACCTGTTTCACAGCCCTGCTCTGCCCAGGATCAAGCCACCATTTTCCTGAGTCCCTTGTGGGCACCCTGAGGCATGTGCCACCAGGCCTGGCTTGGTCTGCCTTTAGGTGAAGCTGGCCCTGGCCATTTCAGAAGCACTCTGCTGCTCCCACCTGGCCAAGCTTCCTTTCTGCGATGCAAACAGCCCCAGTAGCCTGCTCCTCTTTTCCAGTTCTCTTAGGCCCTCCAGCCCCTGGAGCACCTAGGAAGATTGGCTGGAGATGAGATGTGAGGGGTCTCCAAGGCCTCAGCACTTTGGCCCAGTGAGCAGAGCGCTCTGCGGGGGGCTCACCTGCTCTTCCCCACCACTCCCACCCCTCTGAAACAGGGGGCTTTCTGCAACCATGATGCCATGGCCACCCCGGGTCCACCGCAACCATCTCATTGAAGCCGTGGGACCTCCAGCGGTCACTTAATCTCCACGAGGCAACGTCACCTATAAAGTGGGGACAATAAAGTGCCCATGGGACAGGTGGCTGTAAGGACTAACTGAATGCAGGGAGGAAGTTGCTGGCTGAGGCTGCCTGAGCAGATGTGCACTGTGATTTTACCTCTGGTGAGCAGGAGGGGAGCAGAGGCAGAGGAGTGGGGGCAGGGAAAGGGGGAGGTGACCCCCCCACCGCCCCACCCCCACCTCCTGGGAAACTGACCCCCAGCTCTCAAGGTCGCCACCCACAGCTGTTGGCCTCTGAGGCGTTTATGTGAAGCAGCCATGGGGAACCCTGCCTCCCCTTTTTCTCCCGCCCACGCTCCCTGGCCTGTTAACAGGGGCTGGGCTGCAGGGGTCTCAGGCTACGGGGCAGCATTTCTGAGTCCCAGCATGACAGACCCAGCCCTCAGCCTCCAACGGGGTGCTGGAGAGCCCTCTGCGCCCACCGCGGTTCCTGTTCGGGCCACGGAATGTGGGTAAATGAAGGAGCAGGGTCTGGCTCACACACAGTCCCTGCAGAGCCTCATCCCCCAGCCCGGCAGGATGCATCTTCCTGCGGCCCCCCACCCCTCCATTCCTGCTGGACTCCTTTGTACAGCTCCTCTTCCCCAGAAGGGGATTCCCCCACCCTTCCAGGGCTTCTGGTCTCCATGGCAATGGGATGCCAGAGAAGGCCCAGAGTTTGCTCTTCATGCAAGCTCCCTGCTGGCTTCCTAACCGAAGATCCTCCCGGGGAGGAGGGAGCTGCGGAGCCCCTGGCAACCAGGGCTTCAGTCCGTAGGGGCCAAGGTGTCTGGCTCTTTGTGCCTACCAGCAGAAAGACGCCTGGCCCCGGCATGGCCCCTGACCCCCGTGGGTCTCTGTTCCTCCCTCGGGCTGGCCGTCTTCCTGCAGAGCAGGGCCAGGGCACTCACCATTCTCCGCATGTTGGCCGCGGGGGGCTGCACCCAGCTGCGCAGGCGGTTGTGCAGGGACAGGAGCAAGAAACTCTGCTTTCTGCTCAGGGCTGGGGGCCGGGAGAGAGGGTCAGGCCATCTAGCAGCTGGACCTGGGCCCGGCCCCCTGGCAAGGTGAGAGTCACCCCCAGCTCTAGGACACCAGACCTGAGACGGATGGGCCATGGGTGTGCGGGAGGGTGCAGAGCACAGAGATGGAGGGGACCCGAAGGGGGGACGGGGACAGGAGTGGGAAGGGAGGGCCCAGGGCTGTGACAGTGCTGGGGTGGGGTCAGTGGAGAGAATGAGAGGCCAGGGCAGAGTGTGGGGAGGGCCCGGGCCTGGGCTTCTCGCAGCCCTCTGGCTGGAGTCCTCTTGGCCAGTGCATCTCTTGGCCCCAACCCCCCGCCCACCCCTCTCATCCTCCTTCCTCCTCAGCCCCAGGCTCAGGTCTCTCATCAAATGAGTCCAGCACAGGTCTCAGGCCTGAGCCCCGGCTTCCGGAAGCCCCTGGCACCCCCTGCACACACCTCGGTGTTCCTTACCTCCCGGCACCGGAGCCTGCTCTGGCAGCTGGGGTGGCCACACTTCTGCCCAGGCAATGCCGAGGAGAGCCAGGAGCACGGACAGGAGGCCCGGCGGATGGCCCTGGCCTCCCGGCCCTGGGGAGGGCGCCAGCGGCAGCATGGGCCTGTCGGGCACTGCAGGGATAGCCTGGCTCAGCCGTCCAGCTCCTCCCTGGGCTGGATGGAGCTATTCACAAACTCAAGGAGTCAGGCTCCGCTGGCAGACAAAAGGGGGAGGCCAGTGAGTCCTCGGTGTGTCCAAACAGCCTCCCGTCATCAGCGCCTGACGCTAGATTGAAAAGAGACAGACCGCTCCCCAGGATGCCTCCATTGTTGGGCCTCCTCCCAGCCTGCCCAGCCTGCCCCACCAACAGCACGCAGAGCAGTGTGCACTGACCTCGTGGCCCCTGCTAATCATTGCAGGATTATTGGCACCCTCGGGGAGCCCTCAGAGACCCTGCTGATTGGCTTGCAGACATTCCAAGGCTGGGGATTAGTGGCCGATGGCTGTACCCAGGCTGGGACAGTGTCCTCCAGGCCCATCGGCTGCTTCCACTCCCCAGCCCCAGGCCCAGATGAGGAGGCTGGGGCTTCGGCTGTGCGTCCTGCGGGGCAGACAGGAACTGGGCAAAACCCCATGGGAGTTGTTTCCTTTCTTTGGAAACTCATCCCAACCCCCAGCCATGAATTAAACATGGGCAGGAGGTAACCACACACCGGACAGGTGCTATTGGCGGGCTCCTCGGAGAGCGGGCTGGAGCTGCACCTTCGGGAGGAAAAGGGTGCCTTACAAAAGTCATTCTGGGCGCATGGGGGCCTGAGACCAGTCCTGGTGCCCGCACCCTCACCCACATGACTGGGCCAGGAGAGAGCAAGGCGGACGGGCAGAGGAGCACAGGATGGATGGCCTTGGCTGGCTCAGGCCCTGCTGGGAGCAAGCCTGCCTCTGGACACACAGGCCATGGGCCAGCCGGAGGGCAGCGAATTGCCACACTACCTAGGGGGCTGGCTGAGGCCTGCAGAATCCCACTGTAACTAGAGAAGCAGTTCTGCACCATGGCCCAGGTTCCTTAGAGAATTAAGCACGGTCCTGCAGGCCGCAGCCATCCCAAAGCACGGCCTTGTGAGCCAACCACTTCTTTCTGGCGTTTGGTTGACCCCTGGCCCCTGAACTGGCACCCTCTCAGGGCTGGAGGCCAACTCCATGGAAACTCTGCTGAGATGCAAGTGGGCTTGACTTTCTGGAGAACGCTGATGGGATGTGGATGTAATTCTCGGTGTCAGACAGTGGGGACAAGGCCGAGCACAGGGACCCCAATGCTAACCTCGAAGTCACTACATCTATTCCCGGCAGTGCTTAAGAGCCACTGTTTGTTTCTTTGAGACAAGTTCTGACTATGCAGTGCAGGCTGGCCTTAAACTCACAATGTAGCCCAGGCTGCCCTTGAACTCACAGAGATCCTCCTGCCTCAGCCTCCTGAGTGCTGGGATTACAGGTGTGAAGAGCCTCCTTTTTAGTACAGTTTACAAGGCAAATTCATGCATGTAGGTTCATTCATTGTTACAATGATCTGTGTAGTAGCAGATGTGACACATGATGCACACTTTGTAAATGAGGAAACTTGGGCTCAATCTGTCTCGAGGACTTGTCCGAGGTCACCCAGCAAGGACACAGTGCACCCCAGCTAATTCTGCCTTCACATTCCTTGGGCCAGCCGGAGGATGTTCCTGAGTTCAGTTTTTATAGCCATGCTCTATGTTGACTAATAAATGACCCAGATCCTGGTCCTGGACTTCTATGATAAATGTGGCTCATTTTCTCTTGAAGTGTGATGATAGGCGCTTGAGGCAACTAACAGGAAAACGGATTCTGGGAGTTGGGGTTAGAATAACTTTTGAGGCTCACTGTAGGAGGATGCCAGAGTGAGCCTAGCTTAGGAGCCAGAAGAGGAAACGCTGTGGATAAAATATAGACAGGTGCCGAAGGCCCAGGGTCTGAGCAAGCTGCTCTGCATGACTCTGTGGCCTCTGTGTGGCCCCTGGGCCTCAGCGTCCAATGGCAGAAGCAGGAATGCCAAACTCTGCTAAGTCCCAAGCACCTTGCACCATGGTGTACCTAGTAGTTTCTCCTGAGTCCACATTCTTTCCTGGAGCTTGCTCAGTGTTGGTTTGGGTTTTTGGAACTGGCCTGTAAGCTTGCAAGGCAGCTTTCCCCAGGTGAGGTTCTGTAGGGTTTATATCTACCACCCAGGTATTAGAACTCACATTCCCTTAATATGCTTTACTGCATGTCTCTAACTGTTCACCGGCTACAGTTTGAATTTTTGTTGTTGTTGTTTGAGGCAGGGTCTTGCTATGTAGTTCAGGCTGCCCTTGGACTCACTCTGTAGCCCAGGCTGACCTCAAATCTCAGCAGCCCTCCTGCCTCAGCCTTCCATGTGCTGGGATTACAGGCGTGTGCTACCATACCAGGCTTATAGTTTGAATCCAGACTGTCCCCCGAAAGTCCCTACACTAAAGGCTTGATTGCCAGCCTGTGGCACTATTGGAATGTAGTAAGGCCTTTAAGAGGTGAGGCCCAGTGGATGAAGTTAAGTCCTTGTGGGGGTGTCCTTGAAGGAGCTATTGGGACCCAGGCCCCTTCCTGTTTGTCTGTCTTTGGCCACCATGAGATGAGAAGCTTTGCTCTACTACGTGTTCTCACCATGATGTTCTGCTTTGCTTTGATCCCAAAACCAATGGAGCCAACTGACTGTAGAATGGAACCTCTGAAACTGTAAGCTGAAATAAACCTTTCTTCCTCTTAAGTCAATTGTCTCTGGTATTTTGTCACAGTGATGCAGAGCTGACTAATACACCACCACTTTCTGGCTTGTGCCTAGTGGACACCTCTTCTCTCAGTTTGTAATCTTCCTGAAAAGGTTATATAATGTTTGGGCCATTTTGTTTCTTCCTGAAACAGCTTGTGTTTTCAGGGGTGTGAAATCCTGTTGATGTTCTCCTGAGAAAATCTCTTCCAGATTTACATTCAAATCTAGGAGACCTGTGGCAACATCTCTTCTAGAAATTACTTGCCCATATTCTTTTTACCTACAAGCTTTATTTTGGGTGGTGCTGCCTTCCTGTAATCCCAAGACTCTGGGAGGCTGAGTCAGGAAGATCACAAGTTCAGACCCAGCCTGGATGACATAGTGACTTGGCAAGACCCTGTCTAAAAATAAAAAATATAAAAAGGGCTGGATGGGGGCCTTGCAGTCAGGCTGGGAGCCGGGGACAAAGTGATGGGGACCTTGGGGAGCTTTAGGCTAGTGAGGGTGCTCTAGAGGCTTTGGTGCAGCCCCAGGCCTGGGAACTGGAAGCCCACAGAGAGGAACATGGGAGTGTGGCGCTGAATACCCCAGGTTTCCCCATCACCTGATGAGTCTGGGCAGAGACTGGACTATACTGTGGGAGAATCTGCAGCAGTGTTGCTGGAGCAGACATATTTCTAGTTGTATGAAGGGCCCTGGACACTCTTCTCGCGCTCCCTCCCCGTACTTCAGGGGCAGGCATTTCTCACTGAAGTGGAGGCCACCTTGTCTGTTTGCATCTAGAACTCAGGTGCCATACTCTTAACTGGAGACCTGACCACCGGAGCCACACGGCCTTGATTCATCTGTCTGGTTATGCCGTGGACTCAGAGGGAGGTGAGAAGAAAACAGCAAGGCATGAGAACAAGGAGTTGGGAATTTATAGGTAACCAGAATAAAGAAGTTGCCAAGATGATGAGAGACAAAAATGTTGACCCAAATGTGAGGACAGTGTGAACAAGTCTGACTTTTCAGTGATGTCCTATAATAAACTTTCACAAGATCTATCGGAAGATACTTTGCACTTTTACGGACACTGCCGACAGAGTTTTAGTTTCCCAGTATTCTGAAAGAAATTCAACACTTTGGCGCAGATGTACTTTGTCTAGAGGAGGATCATTGTAGAACAGAAATCAGGCCAAGTCTGGAATTGTTGGGTCATCACCATAAATAGAGGTTACGCACAGGAAGGAACCCCCCCAGCTGTGCCATTTGCTTCAAATATCCCAAGTTTTCACTCTTATCTGAACCCAGTGGAATTCTATCACCCTGATACCTTCTCTTGGACAGAGACAATACTGGGTTAGTTTTACTCTTGTAGCCCAAAGTGCCCTGTGCTGCCTCGCCTATATGTGTAGCTGCTGCCAGCTTAGGGACCCTCAAGTCACAGGCCCTGGTGCCACCTACTGGTAGATGCTGTGGACCCAGACAGAAAGCGGATTCCCACGTGGTCTGAGTCCACTGCAGCTGGATCCCTGATCAAGAAACCTAAACATATTTAAACTTTTGTTTTTGTTTCTGCTTTGTGAGACAGGGTCTCACTAGGTAGTCCACGCTGCCCTCGAACTCATAGTCATCCTCCTGTCTCAGTCTCCCGGAGGGTGCGCCCCCTCACCTCGGCAAAGCAATAAATTACAAACTTCTTAAACCTTGAAAGCATTATGAACCAGGTATTGTGGCTCATACCTGTAATCCCAGTACTTGGAGGCTGAGGCAGGAGAGCTGTTGTGAGTTAGAGGCCAGCCTGAACTACACAGCCAGACCTTGTCTCAAAGAAGCAAGGCAAGGCGGGGGTGGTGGTGCAACCCTGTAATCCCAGCATTGTAGAGGCCAGCCGGGGCTACAGAGTGAGTTCAAGGCCAGGCTGCAGTACAGAGAGACCCTATCTCACAATTTTAAAAAGAAAGAAGCAACCAAACATTCTACAGAATTTGCTTTCCACTTCTCCCCATTCCCGTAACCAGCTGTGACATGCAGGCATGGCTAGCGGTGCAGAGCCTGGGAAGGGTATTTACAGACCCGCGCGGGGAAGCAGGCAGACACACGAGAAGGGCACAGTGGGCACGGCCCAGCCTGAGGGCTAGGCTCACGTGTCTCCTACCCTCTCTACCCCTAGGCTCCTAAGACCGGGGTCTCAAGCCCAGGAAAGTGCATAGTGGCTCCTGGGGACCGGCCCCACACTTGCCCTTCTCCCTTCTGCTCACCTAAAGAAAACGGTGGGCAGAAGCCACCCCCACCAGTGGGCGGAGACATCCCCACCTCTTTCCTGCCCCGCAGGGTCCAAAGGCAGGACAGGGAGGAACTGAAATCACAGCCAGTCCACCTGGCTGCTCGGCTCCTTCCTCTTTCCAGGCACCGGGTCCTCCCAGCCAGCGCTGCCCTGCTGGCCACCCGGCTGCCCTTTGTACACGCAAGCACCCTGGGTTCCACGGTACAGCTGTGTGACTTGGCAGAGCCACGCTGCGTCCCCCCTGTGTCATCTGCTACAAGCTTATGGCCTAAGGCTGTCGTGAAGATGAAATAGGATGACGTATATCAATACAAGAATCTTGCCTCTTTTCTTTGCGGTGCTACCAGAAGCTGATCCGAGGACCTTCACGCTGAACTACATCCCAGGCATTTTGAGACAAGATCTTGCTCAAACTCGTGATATTTAGGATACAGCACAGGAGTGCTGGGATACAGGCCTGGGTCACCACACCCATCAGCAAGACTGTCCCTTTTGGGGCTGGGGATTTAGCTCAGTGGCATAGCACCTGCGTAGCAAGTGCAAGGTCGTGAGTTCGATTCCCGGTACCAGAAAAAAAAAAAAAAAGACT